CGGTGGCAGCTGCCAGTATAGAGTTGATAATTTATTCTAGAAGCTCGAATCTCTTTCCAGCTGTGAGGAAAGATCACTCTAGCACTATAGTTTCATTGATGATATCCAATGATTGTTTACACGAAGAAGACAGTAACCAAAATCTCCATTGTGCCTGACTAAGACTGCAATCGTAATGTCCATTCACTTTTCATTGTTGTTCGGCAGACTAAAATCATCATGACTTTATTTTGAGCGACAGTACAAATCTTGACGGGTTTCAACAGATGTTCACTTTCTGGAACTCAGCCACTAGTGACATAATTTCTGATAATTATGCATGGAACTGCAGGAAACATGAATCCCTAAAGAAGCTATGATTAGTGTGCTTCAGTGATTTGTTATTAAAATTTAGAACATGAATGGAGCAGGACTGAAATGTTCTTTGAGAACTTTCAATTTCATTCTCATAATTCGTACCGAAATCACAAAATATCATGGGCAAAATATCAGTGCGCGCTTGTCATCGAAATACATATGAAAATCTTTCAAAAAATGAAGCTTCAGCACCTTGCAATTTCATTGAAGAATCATGACAGGCAGGTGGTCACAGTGAGCTTTTTCGCGGACGTAATATGATTGTCCCCTATCACGCATAAAAAATTTTTTTTAATTGTATGATTATGTTGCGAATTTAATTCAAATCCGTCAGGGAGATCAAAATTCTTCCAAACATGAAGTTAATAAAATGGCATGAAGATGATAATATCAGCCGTACTTTTGAAATTCAGCGGAGCCTTCCATATTGATACGAAAATTATTTCAAATCCAAGTATTTTTTTTATCGCATATCTGGGTAAAGATCTTTCTAGCACTGAAAAGTACTACTCAGGGGAACAGATGTGTGTTCAACTTTTCAAGGTAACAGTTATTCATAAAAATACTGAAATATTGAATGGACTATTCATTTCTACGTCTTGCGAGCAAAATATCAATTAATAAATACGACTCCGCATGTGAAATTTAAGCATATTACATTAATTTTTTATGCGAGTGTCTTGTTTTTCATGACGATAGTCTTAAAAGTAATTTCAATGCAAGGAAATGAGATGCAACATGCTCGATATGTCGGATTCTAGAAAAGAATTATAAAGATAAGTTTTTTCCCATAGAATAAATGCATAATAGAAACAACGGCGAAGACGTATCATAGAAATGGAAGCATACAGCACAGACGAAATTAAGACAAACGATGGCAGAACAATGTGAAATTGCTTCGAACAATTTGCGTACGCTGCAGTATCATGCCATGCATACCTAAGCATCAAAATTGAATTACAGCGGTGAAATCTGATCATTGAGGGATCATTCGTCAGTCGGCACACCTGGACGTATGAACAGCTTATCATATTGGGGAAAATGATCAACTTATAATAGTCGCGCATTGCTACATAAGCTGACTGTGAATTCGTTCCCAACAGATGATCGAAAATGTCCAAACTTTGTGTGCGATGCATATGCATGGTAAACCGTTTTAAAAATATCGCAATGGGAAAAATGCATACAAATGTGCAAAAAACATTCGCATTCAGCTTAATCGAGATCATTTATTCAATCTGTTTGAAAAGTTTTGCAAGTTTCAGGAAAGCGTTCTCTAAATGTGTGCCATAGGTGAGTGATGATTTCTCCTAGGCTGTGGTCAGTAGCGACAAGAATAGCGCGAATAATAATAATAGTAATAGTAGTGAATAATAATTTTCCGAAACAAATTCTGAAATTCAGATCAGAGCTTTTGCTAGGGATCTCTTCAGTGAGAGCAAATAATTTCACTCCACCCTGTCTTTAATAAATCTCTCCGTCAACAATGTAACAAGGCAGACAATAGTTAGAGAAGACGAAATGATGTTCGAGTGACACTTTCATATCAGTGTGCAACTTCTATTTAATTCGAAGCAACGACAGTTTGAATTCTATGGTCAACGAACTACCTGTAGGGTATCATTACAATGGGCTTTTTATGGCATGAGCGGACCGCTTCATTTCCGAAATTTCTGCTGCATTAGCAGCTTTTCATCCCTTTTGCAACAAGTCATTAAATACCGCAATGTGTAATGAACAGGAAGGGTTATGTAAAAATAAAGTTATGAAACAGATAAACTACAACAGCTGGACAAAAATACTATAATAGTGTGCAGAGGTAACCAGACCAGGTTGGTTCTGTGTTTCCTCTCATTCATTAATTTTTAATTCAGAAGTGGGTTAACCTGAAGGTTCTATAATGGAGGAACAAACCCACAGTAAGGTCAGTTGCTGAGTAGAGACGTGTGCAACCAACTTGGCCTGGGTGCCATTGGTTTGCAATGCCACAATTTTGCAGATAAGTGCTTCCTGTACAGAAATTTCACTTAAAGGCAGTTTTTGGCATGCGTCCGAATCCAATATCCGTGGATTGTAAAAGCTCAAATTCCTTGGAACCACGGCCTACCTAAACAAGCCCATAGGTAGCAAACAGCAATTCTTCACACTCTGACTCTGAGTAAGCGAGAATTATAATACTTTTTGCTGGAAGAAGTAGTCCTACAGTGCGTATTTACCGCATATATTTTTAAGTAATGTCCCCTAGAGAGAGATCTAGTTTAATTCAAACAGTGGGGATCTGTTTTAATAAAATTCATACTCTGAGTCAACCCGTTGAAGGATATTACAACCGAAAGGTAAATCGAAATCGGGGTTACACCATCTGATGATTATTACACTTGATAATCAGGTGTGAGATTGACCAAGGCGAAACGCAGACACAAAGGGCACTCGCATCGGCGAGTATGGCTGAATATCTCATCCATTATGGCAATACTGAACATAAACACCATGTTCTCCTTATTTTGGTAAGTCAGAACTAGTAACCGTCTGACTAGTCAGAACTAGTCAGAGGTTGATTCCTTGGTCAGAGGAATTCAAGTGTAACACAAACAGCCTTTCAGAAGTTCGAACTTTGTACCTCTTTAATTCAAAATCGATTTCTTAAGGATTGCACCACAATCTCGCCCATAATGATTAGCTAATGGATAAATAAATTAGCGATGTAATTTTAATCAGTCATTTACCTGACATGGAAGATTTAATCTCTATTTGTATTACATATGCACCAGATTGTAGTACATATACGTCAATACTGCTCTTTTAACGCGACAGATGTACAGTAAAATTCAAAGAGGTCTTTTTCGCGATCAAACAAGATCCTGTTAACAGTCGATGTGAAACGTGTAGCGACTTGGAAGAAAACGAGTTATTTACGGGGGCGGTTGTTGTATGCGGTAGGAGGAGTCGATGAGGAGTGTCGGTGTGTAGGCTCAGCGCTGTCATTATCAGTGCGATGAATGTCGGCCTCGCCGCGCCAGCGTAAAGGTAAGCGAAAAGTGTACTAGATGAAGTCCACCCCCTGTCGTCGCTTAGCATCGATCCTTCTTCATCTGTCATCTGGCGATATGAATGCCTTTAGTTCGTAACGTTCGACTTAACAGGTATGATAAAAAGAAAAGTCGGCCATGCGTCGTCGATCGATTGGATTTCACTGACCTACAACAATGCTGCTGTTCAGAGGCGCAACTCTGGAAGGGTGTCGTCAACATTGTCGTCGTCGCTGTTGGTCGAGTGATCGATCAGACTTGTTTGGAGGAAGCCCGCTTATTCAAGCGATTGCCGTAGTGATCACTGTTAGTTGTTGAAACTGATGACTACGGTGATCGAGTGGTGGAAGGAGGGGGGCCCGCAGGGAACCGGAATGGTTCGGTTGGTTGGCCGGAATAATCGAGCGGGGCGGGGGTGGACGTCAGTAATATACCAGAGACTAGAGTGACTTGTTTATCGTGTTTTAGGCTTCTTCAGGCATCGATTGGCGAAGAACGTGGTCGTCGTCCGAATCTATGCATGCCGGAGTAATTTCTTTGCTGGAGGTGGTAGTGGTGGCAACGGTGATGAGCATTACGGTGGTGGTGGTAGTAGCCGTCGGATGGTCCGCGGCGGCGACAGTGTCGGAGAGCACCCACACACACGTTGAGGATGTTCGTCACTGCTCCGCCTCAGACGGTCAGCCGACGACGTGTTCCGACGAAGTGGCGGTCCTCATCAAGGCCAATTACCCCGGCGTTGTTGACCACCTTGCCAAAAAGTACGGCTTCCACAATCTGGGCCAGGTGAGAAAGTTTACGCATTTAGTTCGTGTGTTTGTAGTTGTTGTTGCTCTCGTCATTTTTAGCCTTTGTCCATTTTGCAATCGTTCGTCGTCAAATAACGGTTAAGAACTTCTAAGGACACCTGAGATCGTATGTTTTTGCCAGTATGCGTGCAGTTGTTTATTTCGAATGCAGTAATTACAGAATGAATCACTTTTTGAGGTGGTTCGATCAGTGCATCCGCTGTACAGAGGGTGCTGACCTTTGTCGACTACTTTAGTCGTTTTTCACTTGATTACAGTCGAAGACGTATGCACAAATACGATCTATCGCTATATTGACATGGCGCATACAAAGGATACGCCATAATTGAGAAATTCGGGATATGACTACCGGGCGAAACAAAACTTCTCAATCAGCTAGAAAGCCATACAGCCAGGCAGTCTTTAACGTTTGTATGTGTGTTTCCGTAGTGACCGATAATTGACCCTTTTCCAGTGGTCGTTCTTCATGATACACGTCTGTAAGAACAGGTTTATATTTTGCTTTGGCAAAAAAAGTTATCAGCACGAAGTGGCCTGTTCACACCAATCAGTTAAATGGCAAAGTTGAGCAGACAGACATAAAACACAGAAGTCGTATCGCTCTGAACGCCGTGTGACATGAGACGAGACCGTATGCAGACATGTGCTTCTTATGTACGTGAATGGTTGGCTGAACTAAGGCTCTGGTTTTAGGGTGCATAGAAATTGCCTTAAAAAACTAAAACTAATGGATGGCTGATGTTCCTAAACAAGATTTTCCCTTAGTGTGTAACCTACCTGCAGAGTTTGTCGATCATAAATCTATGTTCAATTTTGCTGTTGCAAGTGATCAACAGAATTGCACGACAACGAACGATAGCACAGTCTTTCTTCCCTGGAGTCGGACGGAAACCACGGGACCAGAATAAATTATAAGCGGCAGCATGCAACCGAAAGCAAATAATCGAATCATCTTGCTCGAAGGTGCAGCTGGGAGTCATCAGCCAGAGAGAACAAAGTGAAATCTCAACATCACCGTAAGCCATAATTATAAGATAGTGCTTGTTTTGGTCGTTCAGCCCGGCCTGCAGAAAGTATTTCCGATTCCATTTACAGAATGCGCGTCTCAAGTATATCTTTCACCGGTAGACATCCGGACAAATCGCAATTTTGACGTACTCTTTAACATAACTCGCAGAAGCTCATTCGGACTCCAGAAATTTCTTTCATTATTTTAATTCGTTCATTTTCATATACCACTGTTTCTTTTCGGCGAGGATAGTTGCTTCAGGAGGCGATTTCGATCGTCCCATTTCGCCCCTAAGTCTACACTGGTCTAGATTTCATGCCAAACCTATATAGCAGAATCGTCTGGTAGTCAGTGTGCTCTTGAGCCGTCTTCCCCATGCCTCTGCCAGCAAAGTGCGTTTGCTAGCTTCTCCTATGCAAATCCATGTGCAAAGCGGCTTAGCAGTCGAGATTACCTCGAACTGACAGAAGCTGAACCTCTCATTGCACTTGAAGCTGAAATTTATTCTTAACCTACGGATTCGTTGCTCAGGACCATTCATGAAGGCAGATGCGTAGACGGACTTAAAAACAGATCGCGTCGCATTGCTGTATTTATTATTTTTAATATTTGTTTATTGCCACTGTAAATATTATTCATCCTAACCTTCTTCTGAAAATTAAAATTCACTTGTGATTTTAATTAGGCAATAACTTGTTTACAGAAGGAATGAGGGGGATGGGAT